GGAGATCACCAGGTGAGACCCCCGGGGGGGGCGGGGATCCGGGAGATCACCAGGTGAGAGCCAGAGGGGGAATCCGGGAGATCGCCAGGTGAGAGCCAGAGGGGGGATCCGGGAGATCGCCAGGTGAGAGCCAGAGGGGGGATCCGGGAGATCGCCAGGTGAGAGCCAGAGGGTGTGGTGAGGGGATCGCCAGGTGACAGTCTGGGGGGGTGGTGAGGGGATCTGAGAGATCGCCAGGTGACAGTCAGAGGGAGGGATCCCGGAGATCACCAGGTGAGAGCCCGGCGAGGGTGACGGATCCCAGAGATCACCAGGTGAGAGACCTGGGGGCATGAGGGTGCACAAAAACAGAAATTGCAGGGAAAACACAGCAGGTCTGGTAGAGATCTGGTAGAATTTGTGGAGAGAAATTAGAGTTAACCTCCTGGGCCCAGTGAGAAACCAGTGCAGTATCAACCAGTGAACCCGCTGTCAGCGGTGGGTAGGTTGTTGAAGAGGGTTCTGAGGGTCAGGATTTACACAAATTTGGGAAGGCAAGGACCGATTAGGAATCCTCATCGCTTCGTACGTGGGAAATCATATCTCACTAACTTGATTGAGTTTTTTGAACAAGTGACAAAGACGTTTCACAAAGGCAGAGTGTTGGATGTTGTCTAAGTGGACTTCAGTAAGGCATTCAACAAGGCTCCATATGGTAGACTGGTTAGCAAGGTTAGACCACATGGAATCCAGGGAGAGCTAGTCATTTAGATATAAAATTGGTTTGTAGGTTGGAGACAAAGGGTGGTGGTGAAGTGTTGTTTTTTGAACTGGAGGCCTGTGACCAGCGGTATGCCACAAGTATCGGTGCTGGGTCCACTGCTTTTTGTCATTTATATAAAGTGATTTGGATGTGAGGTATAGCAGGAATGGTTACTAAGTTTGCAGCTGACACCAAAATTGGAGGTGTAGTGGGTAGTAAAGAAGGTTACCTCAGAGTACAACGGGAGCTTTGTCAGATGGGCCAATGGAGCAAGGAGTTTAATTTAGATAAACATGACATGTTGCATTTTGAAAAGGCAAATCAGGGCAGGACTTCTACACTTAATGGTAAGGTCCTGTGATATGATGCCAAACAAAGAGATCTAGGGGTGCAGGTCGATAGTTACTTGAAAGTGGAGTCTCGGGTAGACAGAGTAGTGAAGAAAACGTTTGGTACACTTGCTTTTAGAGGTCAGTGCATTGAGTGTAGGAGTTGGGAGGTCATGTTGTATCTGTACAGGACATTGGTTAGGCCACTTTTGGAATACTGTGTTCAGTTCTGGTCTCCCTGCTTGAGGAAAGGTGTTAAACTTTAAAGGATACAGATGTTGCCAGGGTTGGAGGGTTTGAGCTATAAGGAGAGGTTGAAGCTATTTTCCGTGGAACATCGAAGGCTGACAGGTGACCTTGTAGAGGTTTATAAAATCATGAGGGGCATGGATACTATTACATTTAAAAGGCATCTCGATGGGTATATGAGTAGGAAGGGTTTAGAGGGATATTGGCCAAGTGTTGGCAAATGGGAGTTGATTAATTTAGGTTATCTGGTCAGCAGAGATTGGTATATCTGTCTCGACCTTTCCTATTCGTGTACTCATCCAGATGCCTTTTAAATGTTGTAATTGTACCAGCCTCCACCACTTCTGGTGGCAGTTCGTTCCATACATGCTCCATCCTTTGCGTGAAAAAGTTGCCCCTTAGGTCCCTTTTAAATCTTTCCCGTCTCACCTTAAACCTATGCCCTCTAGTTTTGGATTCCCCTGCCCTACGAAAAAGACCTTGGCTATTCATCCTATCCATGTCCCTCATGATTATATAAATCTATGTAATGTCACCCCTCAGCCTCCAACACTCCAGGTAAAAAAGCCCTAACCTATTCAGGTTCTCCCTATAATTCCAACTTTCCAATCCTGGTAACATCTTTGTAAAACTTTTCTGAACTCTTTCAAGTTTAACAACCTCTTTCCTATAACAGGGAGACCAGAATTGAATGCAGTATTCCAGATGTGGCCATCTATTGTTTTCAACCATCATGTCAGACTTAAAATATATTTCTAGTTGCTCATTCTTTCTAACTGGTTTTGAGCTACAAATGCCATTGTGTCTGAAATAACAACGTCTAACATTTCTGGCCATTTTATTTAATCCAAATCTGTTAAATCTTTCTACTCATCGAACTGAATGTCAGGACAACAATCTGTGTGAGGAATTTGAATCTCAGTTGCTTCAGATTTCTTTTCTGCTTATCAGCTTAAACCTGGATATTGTCCAGGTCTTGCTGCATGAGGGCATTAGCTGCTTTAGAATCTGAGATGTCACAAATGGTGCTGAACATCATGCAGTCACCAGTGAACAATTCTACTTCTGACCTTATGGGGAGAAAGTCATTGAGGAAGCAGCTGCAGATGGTTGGGTTTGGAATACCACTCTGAGGAACTCCTGCCAGAATGGCTTGGAGCAGAAATGATTGAACTCCAACAACCATAAACATCTTCCTCTGTGCCAGTTATGACTCCAGTCAGTGGTGAGTTTTCCCTGGATACTCATTGATTCTAGTTTTGCTCGGGCTTCTTGATGTCACACTTGTCAAATGTGACATAGAAGTACCCAACCAGATATGATGAATTCACAGTTTGAGTGCCTTTCCCACATCATCTGGTTGATTTCTATTTGCTAGTGTATAGGGTTCCCTTTTGAGTAATTGGTGTCAAATTAACACAGAATCTTGGTCTTAGGGGAAAATAGAATTGTGTTTTCATGTATTTTAATCAGCCTGGATGCTGTTCTGATTCAGGAAAGAAGAGAGTTGGTCTGGTGAAATTATTAGGTGAAATACTCATGCTAAAGCTGAGGCCAATATCTTCACTCTATTTACAAATGCATGTGTAGCTAGCCTGTGAAGGCACCTAAACAGTCCAGAGCACAAGTATTGCAACAATATTGTTATTCCATTTAGCAATTATTTCAGCTGGCACTGCCTTTAATCACAACTGAACCAATTCACTCCATCCGCAAACACGAGCTTGTCTTGACCAATTATCAACATTTATATAGTTTTCTGGTTATGGCCCTTCCTCTCTGCATGCGCTTTTCCATCAAGGCACACTGAAGCCTGAAATATATATGCACTGCTGCTTTCTAAAAGCAGCACTGTTGGTACCAATGATATGGGCAAAGTGAGGAATGAGGTCTTGAATCAAGATTTCAGTGAGCGAGGCAGTAGATTTAAAGAAACAGGACCTCAATGGTTGTAATCTCTGGATTACTCCCGCTGCCATGTGCTAGCGACTTTAGAAATAGGAAAATAGGACAGATGAATACGTGGCTCAAGAGTTGGTGCAAGAGAGAGGGGTTTCAGGTTCCTGGATCACTGGGACCGTTTTTGAGGAAGGTCAGACTTGTACAGAGGGGACGGTCTGCACCTGAACCACACTGGGACCAACATCCTTGCAGTGCTGTTGAGAAGAGTTTAACCTAGTCTGGCAGGGGGAGGGGATGCAGAATATCAACGAAACAGTGACACATTATGTTACAGCAAAGGAAGGAAGTCACAGTGAGTTCAGCTATGTTGAGTGTCAAGAGAGTAAGGCAAGGCTGGATGGTCTTTAATGCTAGGAGTGTAATAAGCAAGACTGATGAGTGAATGGCGTGGATTGACACATGGCAACAATATCACACTTCCATCACAGAAACACAGCTGACTGAAGGGCTGGACTAGGGCATATCAACATTCCAGGGTATAAGATCCTTTAGGCAAGACAGAGGAAGGTTTAAAAAAAGATGGTGGTGTCACACGATTAATTAAGGAGTCAGTTACTGCAAGAAGAAGATGTGATAACTTGGAAGGGTCCTCAATCGAGGCTTTGTGGGTAGAACTTAGGAATGTTAAGGGGGCAGCTACGTTACTGGGAATGTATTATAGACCCCCAGAGAGTCAGCACAAGATAGAGGAGCAAATATGTAGACAGTTCACACAGGTGTGTAAGAGTTATAATCAGGTAATTATATGAGGGGATTCCAACTTTCTCAACATAAATTAGGATAGACATAGTGTTAAGGGGAAGGTTGAGAGGGGGCAGATTTCTTGAAATGTACCCAGGGGAGTTCTTAATATCAATACGTGGAAGGCCCAACAAGGGACGGCACGGTACTGGATCTGGTTCTGGGGAAAGGAGCTGGACAAGTGTTTGATGTGGCAGTGGGGAACATTTCAGCAATAGAGACCACAACACAGTACGGTTTAAATTTGTTCTGGACGAGGAAAAAGGTGGCCTGTAAAGGACGGTTTTGGATTGGAGGAGGACCGATTTTATTAAAATAAAGCAGGATCTGGCCACAGTAGACTGGGAACAGCACCTTGTGGATAAATCTACAACACAGCAATTGGGGGGGTCATTCAAAAGGAGCTTGGGGAGAGTACAGGTCCAAAATGTACCTGTTAGAGGGAAATGTAGGAGCAATAAGTTCAGGAAATCCTGGATGTCTAGGAGAATTCAGGATTGGATAAGGAAGAAAAAGGCTTTTAACAAGTCCAAAGGGAACAATTCAGCTGCAGCCCGAGAGGAATACAGGAAGTGCAGGAGGGAACTTAAAGCAATTAGAAGAACAAAAAGGAGGTATGAAAAAGTACTTGCAAATAGGATTAAGGCGAATCTTAAGATATTTTATAAATACATTAGAGGGAAGACGTTAACCAGGGAAAGAGTAGGACCCATTAGGGATTAAGGGGGCTGCCTGTGTGAAGCTGCAGGATATTGGAAGGGTTTTGGTCAGGCCACAACTGTAGTACTGTGTGCAGTTCTGACCGCCTCAGTCCAGGAAGGATGTAATGGCACTAGAGTGGGTACAGAGGATGTTCACCAGGATGTTGCCTGGGTTGGAAGAATTGAGCTATAAGGAGAGACTAGATAGGCTTGGATTGTTTTCTTTAGAGCAGGGAAGACTGAGGGGGGCATGTTTGAGGTGTATAAGATTGTGAGGGGTATGGACAGGGTGAATAGAGAGCAGCTGTTACCCTAAGTTGAGGGGTCAGTCAGGAGAGGGCATTGTTTGAGGGTAAGGAGCAGGAATTTCAGCTGGGATTTGGGTAAAACCTTTCTGTCAGTGGGTGGTGGGAATCTGGAATGCACTTGGTAGAGTGGTGGATGGAAACCTTACAACCTTTAAAAAGAATATTTGGATGAGTACTTCACACATCGTAACATTCAAGGATATGGGACAAGTGCAGGAAATTGAGATTAGGCCATTTTTAGTGGGTAGTTTTGTCGGTGCAAACTCAATGCGCCGAAGGGCCTTTTCTGCCCTGTATGAATCTATGAGCTGACTGGACACAGAATTAAGATTGAATCTTCTTGCTCTGAAAGACACCATTCTGCATTACGCAGTGAATAGGACAACATTTTCTGCTAATGAATCAGGATATGGTTCCCAGTTTTTGATTCATTTCTGTTCGGACGGGACTTAGTGCCTTTGAGGTTTGAACTACTGTACTTCAATTCCTGCCTTTATACATTGACAAATAAATAATTGAATGTAATTATATATCAAAAATAAGAGGTTGACTTACTGTTCTATCTTTTTTTCGGATAGTTCTTTTTGGTACTGGAGATCGAATGGTAGAAATGGAGGATTCAGAGGATGACAATCTTGCTACATCTGAGTAAGTAAGCTTTTGTAGTAGGGTGACTGTCAAGATTCGCAGTTAAAAATGTAGGCCCCACAATTGGAATATTTCATGAGATAGTAGGAACTGCAGATGCTGGAGAATCCGAGACAACAAGGTGCAGGGCTGGATAAACACAGCAGGCCAAGCAGCATCATAGGAGCAGAGAGGCTGACGTTTCGGGCCTAGACCCTTCATCAGAAATGGGGGAGGGGAAGGGGGTCCTGAAATAAATGGGGAGAGAGGCAATCTTTCGGCTGATACAGTTATAGGGTGCACGAGGACACCAACTGCAATGACCATTATCATGGTTTTGTTTGTTTTGTATCTTGCCATTCCTCTGTGACATATCCATATATTTTGTGAGGATTATGCTCTGATCACATTGTTGTCTGAGTAGATTTTTGGTTTGTTTCAACATTTAATTATTATTTCATTTTTTTAATTTATTGAAATTCATTCTTAAATGGACACCAATATGCGATGTTTTTGCTGAAAATTAGAGTCTAATTGGGTCATCGTAAAATGAATATTGCTTTGATGTGCACTTTGTTATCTCCAATGTGTATATATCAAATGATAAAACAACCTCTAAACCTAACCACGCTGTTGAAAAATACTCATACATTAGCAGAAAGATTAATTAAAATGGTACATTTTTAAAGGGAACCCAAAGACAGAGACACCTTGGGGTATATGTAAGCAAGCCTTTTAAGGTGGCAGGGCATGTTGAGAAGGCTACTAAAAGGGAATATGGAATCCTCTTTATAAACAGAGGTGCAGAGTACAGAGCAAAGGTGAGAGATAAGAGGTTTTAGCAGAGGTTGAAGATAATGACTTCAGATACACAGTGTTTAGTTGGAGGAAATGTCTGATCAGCCAATCCTGCATTCTGGATAAGACAACTAATAATTCAGCAACAGAGGAGTCATCCCAACAAACAGGTAGTGAGACAAAACTGGGTGTCATCAACATACATGTAAAAAGTAACAGTTTCAAATCATGTTGGCAGTGAGTGGTATGTAATGAGAAACAGAAGGGAGCCTCAAACAGTAAATAGCCTCAAGGATCTCAACTTTCATAAAGTAATTAGGAGATGCCAGAAAAATGTCTTTCATGTTAACTGGTGCAGCTTTGAATCATAGAATCCCTACAGTGCAGAAAGGGGTCATACAACTCCCTCAAAATACAAATGTTTGAATCGCGCTCCATTTCTAGAAATAAGGAAAACATCATAACTAATAATACTGTGAATCACATTTTTAAAAAGTTAATTTTCATTTTCATCTGTTTATTTATCCAGTTCATCGGCTGTAGATGCTGAATTTGATACGGTCATTGGGCACATAGAAGATATTGTTATGGGTAGGTGAAAACAATGTTATGAAATTAATTTAAAGTTCAGTATTTACTTCACTTTTGCACTTTGTAGATGTTAGCTAGCAGTTTCACAGCTGTTTATTAATCTTCTTGAACATTAAAGGATTTATCACTTATGGCTTATCACTTTAAAGCCACATTTACTTTATTGCCATTACATCATATTCTCACATGGTTATTTATCTTTGTAGCTTACCAACTTTATACACCTTACTTTGTGTGTTCACATAACATATATACCCAGGGTAAAAGTTGAAGTTTTGAGACCAATTCTTTCTCTAAGCACAAATTAATGGGTCAACTTTTATGCAGTTGTGTTTTAGAGGGGATTGCTTTTAATACAAATGTACCTGGCTGGTACAGCTAACGTAGCTCTCAAAAGAACAGATGAAGAGGAAAGTCAGACTGGCAAAGAGAGAACTTGAGAATAGCATGGCAGTCAATATGAAAGAGAATCAAAAACTCTTCTGCTGATGTGGAAATTATGAGCAAGTATCAAGAGTTTGTGTGAGTCTTACTGTTAAAGAGGATGATATATGCTTAAGGTCACAGGGCAAAGCTAGAATACTTTACCTAATGTTGATACTTACTAAGGAAGAAGCTGATGAATTATTGATAGAAACAGACATCGTGGAGGTAATGGATGAGGTAAAAATTGAGAGGCAAAAGTAATGGAAAAACTGGCTATGATTAGAGTGGCCATGTTGCCTGCTCTCATTTGCTTGTATCTCAGTTTGCCGATGGAATGACTTGCCATAATGATACAATCTTCTGTAGATATAGGAGACATTGTCCAAATGGGCAGTCCATTAAGCAGTCCTATCGGTGCTGCCACTGAGATTCCAAATACAGAAATTACAAGCAGAAGTAAAAGCAGAACGCACTGGAAAAACTCACTTGGCAGCATCAGAGGAGAGAGAATCCGAACGGGACAGTAAAGTGGTGGAGGGAGAGGGAGGGAGGGAGGGAAAGGGTAAGGGAGGTGGGGACAAAGGGGAGTTGAGATAGAAGCGATGGTGGAGGTAGGAAGGGGGATGGGGAGGAGTGTTCAAAAGGGGAGGAGGTGGTAAAGGCGAGGTAGAAGGGAAGGGGAGAGTAGGAAGATGGGCAGAGGGGCAGAGTGAGAATGTGTAATTGGAAGAGCTGGGGTTGTTTTCCTTAGAGCAAAGGAGACAGGAGATTTTTTAATATAGTAGACAAAGATAAACTGTCTCCATTAGCTGATGGTTCAAGGACAAGGAACACTGACGTAAGTGTTTGGGTAAAGGGGGATGTGAAAAAGTACTTACTTACACGAGAGTGGCAAGATCTGAAATTCCTGCCACAAGGGCAGGCTGAACTAGAGATGTTCAGTGATTTCAAAATGAAATTGAATAGGTATATGCAAGTCATAAATTTGCAGGGTTTTGAGGATTGAGGAGAGCAATGGAAAGATGGCCTCCTGCTGTTCCATAAATGGCTGGCTGACTCCATGGCTGCAAGATCTGATACATCATATCTATATTTCTGTATTTATAACACTATATCTCTGTTTAACATCAATGTAATGCAATCAACCAAAGGCAGTCAAAGTTTGTACTTAATGCTGCAGAATGTGATCTTTTAATCTCTTTATTTCAGATGAAGAATTTCAACAGTTACAGAGAAACTTTATGGATAAATACTATTTAGAATTTGAGAATACTGAAGAAAACAAACTTATTTACACTTCAATTTTCCAAGAATATGTGAGTCTCTGCCCTTTAATGTCTTTTTATATCTATCTGAAAATCTAAAAAGTTCAAGAATATGTGTACCAACAGATTATAGCTACAATTTCCTGAAATGTAATAAGCATGAAACAGTCTGTACTAATGGTAGTGTAATTTTTTTGTGAAAACCATTGTAAAGACGTGAAAGTAAGAGGAACTGGAAGATTTAAAAGATTTTTATATAGCCCCATGAGAGGAAAGAACTCTAAAATATTACCTTAGAACAGGAAGAAACTCGAGTATCAGTAATGGTCCTTGATATGAGCCTCTCTTTCCTTGGAGGGTTCTGGATTCCAGAATTAAGGAGCGATTTCATGTTCATACAATGCCCTGTGAACAAAGGCAGTTCAGTGGATCTGATTTCAAAAGATATGCAGTTCCACTTGATTTGTTTTAAAAGAATTGTGGGTTTTTTTATTGTTTTGGGGGTTATGTAAAAGAGCTGCTATGAGAACAGGTCTTGCAATACTCAATTTGTTTTCTTGCATGGAGGTGTGAGCTCAGCGTTCTGAATCAGAAAAAAAAAATTGGTGACTCAGAACGCTGAGCTCACACCTCCATGCAAGAAAACAAATTGAGTATTGCAAGACCTGTTCTCATAGCAGCTCTTTTACATAACCCCCAAAACAATAAAAAAGCCCACAATTCTTTTAAAACAAATCAAGTGGAACTGCATATCTTTTGAAATCAGATCCACTGATGCCATTGCATCATATCAGGCTTTTTAATGTTTTTTTCCCCCTGGCAAGTTGCAGTTAATGGTATCTTTTTCCTGCAGATTGACTTGTTAGAGAAGTACATTGAGCAACAGTTAATAGAAAGGAGACCAGCGTTCAATATGACTACATTCATAACATCACTACAGTAAGTTAAACAGCATGGTGGTTCTTATAAACTATGGTACATTTTGTAGTTCTCAAAATTCAACTCCGGTCTCTCAGTATAACTTGGCAAGTTTATCAAATGAATAGCAGAGCAGTACAAATGAGAATCTCTCCTTCAAACTCTAGAATGTGCTCAAAATGGTATGAGTGAGTTATATCTGGCATAAGTGCTGCTGGAGTAGAGAAGTGAAACTCAGTGTTTCCATTCTCAATAGTAGCCATTGTCGTCCACTCAAAATAATTGGGTAGTCGCCACTATATGTCAGAGTTCTAAAGTTCATTAGAGGGGGTGGATTTCCTGGAGTACATACGCAATGGTTTGTTTCGGACAAAAACATATAGGAACCAACTAAAGAGCACTTTACCCTAAAATGAGATTGCGCAATGAGAAAGGATTAACTAATAATCTTACTGTTTGGAGCCCATTGGGAAAGAGGGATCATAAAATGAAAAAAATGTTCGTTTAGACGGAGAGTGTTGGATAAGTAAAATCTAAAACTTAGGGTTAAATCCAAAACTGAATCTAAATAAATAATTAAACAGGAAAGCTGTCTTGACCATGGCATACAAATGAAATTAGGGGCAGTATTAGATCCAAACAGGAGACATAAAATCGCCAGAAAAAGCAGCCTAAATTTTGGGGATAGTGTAGAATTCATCAAAAGATAAAGGCATGTTTAGGGCCTTGGATAGTGAGGAGGGAGGAGATAAATGGGCAAGTGTTGGATCTTCTGAAGTTGCATGAGAAGGTGTTGGTATCTGGCACAGTATTGAATTAATAATTGCAGTTTCACATGCTTTACCCTGTCACAACGCTTTACTTTTGGAATGCAATGAACCTTGTTAAGTAGGTGAAGTATTACAATCTGAAAATTCAGTAAAATTTCTGACAAATGTTACTAATTCAGCTAATATGAAAATTAATGTAACATTTGAATTGTCATCACTAGATGGAGCTATAAACTGCTTTGGAGAATTGATCAAAATTTAATTAATGCTTTGTTGAAAGCATATGATTTTAAAAGTGAATTTTATTGTGTCTGTAAGGTACTAATTCTTGGTCTATTTGGTCATCAGAAAAATTCAAACCAGAATTTCTCCCCTGCCCGCAATCTATATGTTATCTGTGGGATCAACCTGGGGTAAACTCAGGAGCTGAGCTGCTATATACTATTTGGTAAAGTGATTTAGCACTTTGTTTTTAATGAGGAAATGTAGTCTGATGAATTGTCCCCAATCCTAAATGGTGATTAAAGGAGAGACTAATTTCCATGCTTTAGAACCTGCTGATGAGGCTATCCAGATTTTGTGCTGAAGCCATTGTTTTTCTTGCTGCAGAAAACGAATTCACTGCAGCGTTGTGCTTGTAGCTAGCTCACTGGTTAAAATGTTGAGACCCAAACCTAAAAGTCATTCTGACTTTCCCATTGTCCTAGTCTGCTTTATGTGGATACCAGAACAGTATCACCTATGATTTGGACTGGCCTTGAAAATCTCCCCCACTGTTTTTATATATTTTTCAGTAAATATGAACATTTCAGAAATTGAAATTGTACCTACAATTGACTTATAGACAATAAATATTTAGTGTTTGTTGGCTTGAAAAAGAATTGAAGCAGTTACAATAGTCCTATTTTGCTTTGTTACAGGCAGCATAAAGATGAGATATCTGGAGATATATTTGATATGTTACTGACTTTCACAGATTTCCTGGCCTTCAAAGAAATGTTTCTTGATTACAGGATGGTATGTATACCAAACCTTGCAGTATTTTTCAGATAGAACTAAACCATCATTACACATTGACCTGCAGTCTACAGGAAGGTTTAAGGTGGTCTGTGCCCTGGTCTGCAATTCAATTGTACTTGATGACCCTGGCTAGAGAAGGATGACCTTATAAAGAGTCAAGATTCAGCTCAATTTTTAATCACAGTAAAGTGGATATTGTCCTTCTGTAGATATGAAAGTTAGGGTCTAAGGTCATTCTGGTCAATACCTACGTCATGTGCTAAGCTCAGAAAGGCCAACAAAGCAGGCATCAGCCTGATTCTGGAAGCACCTTATTTGTTCACTAAACATTTTTCCCTGGATCACTTGGCCACGAGGACTTAATTGTGCAGATCTATCTTGGAGATATTTGTGCCCTCAAGACACAGCAGAGTCTCTGTTTCTCTTATTCCAAGAAATTCTCCTTGGGGAATTCTGTTTGTACATAATGTCATCCTTTGTTGCATTGGTCCACCTTTATGTGGAATGATATTGGAAAACTGCATTTATGGTTTTGTGAAAGGGAAATCATGATTAACCAATTTATTGCTTTACTTTGAGTAAGTAATGTGCTATGGATAAAGGGGAGCAATGAATGTACTGAACTTAGACTTCCAAAAGACATTTGATAAGGTGCCACATCAAAGGATATTTTGCAAGTTAAAAGCTCATGATGTAGTGGCTAGCATATTGGCACGAATAGAAGATTGCCTGGCTGACCAGAAGCAAACAGTAGGCATATATAGGTCTTTTTCAGGTTGAAAGGGATTTGTACTGGGACCTCAGCTGTTTACAATTTATAAAAGGAATGATTTGCATGAAGGAGCAGAAGTAATGGTTGCCAAATTTACTGATAGCGTAAAGGTGGTAGGAAAATAAACAATGAAGCGGTCATAAGGAGGCTACATTAAAATATAGGTAGGTAAGTGAATGGGCATAGATCTTGCAAATGAAGCAGATTGTGGGAAAGTGTCAGATTGTTCATTTTGGCAGGAAGATAAAGGATGCATATTACCTAAGTGGTGAAAGATGGCAGCATCTGGGAGTTTTTATTTAGAATCTCTACAGTGTGGAAACAGGCCATTTGGCCCAACAAGTCCACACCGACCCTCAGAGCATCCCACCCAGACCCATCCCCCAATAAGCCACCTAATCTACACATCCCTGAACACAGTTTAGCACGGCCAATCCACCTAGCCTGCACGTCTTTGGACTGTGGGAGGAAGCCAGGGCACCCGGAGGAAACCCACGCAGACACGGGGGGAATGTGCAAACTCCACACAGACAGTCGCCCGAGGGTGGAATTGAACCCGGATCCCTGGCACTGTGAGGCGACAGTGCTATCCAATGAACCACCATGCCATTCTAGTACATAAATTGCAAAAGGCTAGCACACAGTTACAGCAAATAATAGAAAAATTAGGAAAGTGAATAGAATGTTGTAATTTATTCCGTGGGGAATTTAATACAAAATTGGAATGTTGTGTTTCAGTTATACAGAGAACTGGCGAGACTACATCTGGAATACTGGGTACAGTATTGGTCACCTTACTTAAGGAAGGATTTAAATACATTGGAGTCAGCTCAGAGAAGGTTCACCAGACTAGTAACTGTAATGGACAGATTGACTTAAGAGAAAAGATTGGGCAGTTTGGATTTGTGTCTGCTAGAGTTCAGAAGAGTACGAGGCGAGTTGACTGAAAGATCCTGGGGGGTGGATGTGGAAAGAATATTTCCTCTAATGGGAGAATCTAGAACGAGGGGTTATCCTTTAGAAACAAATGAGTGAATGTTCTGTCTCTGAGGCTCATTAGTTCTTAGAACGCCTTGAAAATATGGTTAAAGCAGAAGCCTTAAATATTTCTTGGTCAGAGATGGCCGGATTATTTTTAAGCAAGGAGATAAGAGTATCAGCAGTAGGCAGGAATTTGAGGATACGGTGAGGTCAGCCATAATCTTACTGAATGATAGAGCATGCCCGAGGAACCAAAGAACTTTCTCTCGCTCTTTGTTTGTATAATATTGCCTTTGCCAAAATATTTGCTAAGCCTACAGGATGTAGGAAATGCATCCATTCAAGAATGAAGATCATCCTTGGGTGTCAGCTGTGCCTTAGTTAATAGTGCTCCCACACCGGAGTCCCAAACATTGAGTTCAAGTGCACAGAAGTCAACGCTGACATTCCAGTGCAGTACTACAGGTTTGTTGCACTGGTGGAGCTGCCGTCTTTTGATGAGACATTAAACTGAGACTCCGTATGTTCTCTAAGATGAGCATAAACTCTTAGATGATACTATATTGAAGATGAGCTGGGGTGTTTTCTGTGGTTCTCTAGCTAATATTTATTTCTCAATTTAGTAACACAAAAAAATGTAATCATTACCACAACGCTGTTTGTTGGATTTAGCTGTGTACAAATTGGCCGGCTTGTTTCTTAAATTATAACAGTGGCTGCATCTCAGAACTACTTCATTGACTGAAAAGTGCTTTTCAATGATAAAAGTGAAAGACACTATGAATGCAAGTCTCTTTTTTTTTTCCCCTTAGAGTTGTGAGGTATCCATAACTTGCTTCTGGCCCCATGCCTGTAGTCACTCAAATGCTTCCACCAATTTCCTTGAAAACACGAATAAGGAAATATGCCTTTCCCTTTGAACTTCCCTTATAAACAAATCATCTAATTTATAAATTTGGCAGAATAATAAATATCAGCTAGGATGCTGGGAGAACACCCTGCTGTCATTCTTATGGTGACATGGAATCTTGTATACCTGCCTGAGAGGGCAGATAGAGGGTCTGTCTATTTGAAAGACAGCATCTCCTGGAGTTTAGTGAAATGTCAGCATAAATAATGAGCTCAGGTCTTCAGCGTGGGTCTTGAGCCCAAGACCTGAGCTGTGAGAGATAGCATTACACACAAGGCAAGGCTGGTTTGATTTCTCTAACCATAATCAACGTACCCAGTCATCCTGCTTCAACCAAACAGGTTTGCTGCCTCATATTACTATCACATTTGTCATTTTCTAGCGCTAGTGATTTCTTGGAACCTGATGACTTGAGTTTAAAATGACCAGACCCTGCACTTTTTTTATCTATGAATCTTTCTATATTCTGAAGCATCGATATTCAGCCACTATGCTTGTACTTTCTGATATTCTTTGTTCTAATTCCCACACCCTCGAGCTCCTGCCCATCTTTCAGATTGCATCCACTGAATCCGGCTATTGAACTGCACACCTCCTCTTCCACTCCAACTGACTCTCGTAGAAATTAAGAATTTAATTTATACAGATACCAATTGCACTGAAGTATGTCTATGTAGATTGGGAGAGCAGAATGAAGATTAACAAAAGGTAGGGTTGCATTCGTGTTTGGCACCTTTTATAGCCTCAAATCATCCCAGAGTACATTAGATCCAGTGACATTCTTATGAAGTGTAATCACTATTGAAGGAAGCAAGTCAACTAATTTGTGCTTAGCAAGATCCCACTAACAACATGAAAATGACAAATAGTTTGTTTTAGAGATGTTGATGGAGGGATAAGTATTCGCCAGGATTCCAGGCAAAATTCACCCATTCTCTTTTGAAATAGAGGCAAAGAATCTTTTGTGTCTGCCCAAGAGAGCAGATGAATATCATAGCTTTTAACAGTAGAAGAAGGATAGTTGTTGATCTTTGGAGATAGCAAGAACTGCTGATGCTGGAGTCAGAGTCAATAAGGTGTGGAGATGGAGGAACACAGCAGGTCAGGCAGCATCAGAGGAGCAGGAGAGTCGATGTTTCGGGTTTATACCCTTCATCAGAACTCCCGAAACATTGACTTTCCTGCTCCTCTGATG